CTCAGTCTTTTTGCCACTTGTGGGCGTGACCGCATTCACTCCGGCCGACGGTGACGTCATGCGCATACCCTCTATACGCCATCCAAAGCCACGCCTCCTCCAAAACACATGAACGCGCACAGACCAGAAACAACGATATTGGATTACATCATGTGTCTTTCACCGGTGAGAAAACTTTACAGTACAGTAAGTAACAATACTACAATAAAAAAAAAGTAAACAACTATTTGCCAGCCATTCTCGCTCTGTCTGCACAGTGTACGTGAACGCGTTGATGACATTTGATGTCTGCGCAATGATTCAACATTTTATAGTCCTACGCCTTCCACAAAATACAAACCGCTTAACATTGTAATTGCTATCAGGATGTGAAGAGACTTTCAACCAGCACAAAAAAAAAAAAAAGATTCTGTGGAGAATCACCTACTGCACCTTTAAGTAACAACAGCAAAAGGTCACACCAGTTCACTAATATCTAAAGTAGGCAATAGGCATGCAAAACGAAAATTGCACAAGCTTGTACAATTTAGGTTAACCAAAATTAAGTAAAATATACCATTTAAATGTTATAAGTGTTCCCTGCTAATAAGGTATGTCCTGTTATTGTTATGATGACCACCCTTTTATGACTGTATTCACTAATGTATTTGTTTTAATCATAGTTCAATAAAGAAAATCATAGATGAATTGACTAATAGTGTGTCCTTCGAAAGGTTCAATCACAAAAAAATAATTGTAATCATTCTTAAGTAAAATTATTAGACTTTTGAGAAATGTAAATAAAGGTAATAAGCTATTTTAGTATCAAATTATCAGTGTATTAAATATTTTGTATTTGAATAACTATGTAATGTATTTAAGTCGCTCAGTTAGATCTGTATGACTTTTGAAAACTGTTTCTAATCACAACAATTGTTTTAATCATTCTTAAGTAAAATTATTAGAGTTTTGAGAAATGTAAATAAAGGTAATAAGCTATTTTAGTATCAAATTATCAGTGGATTAAATATGTTTTGTATATAACTATTTAAGTCGCTCAGTTTGATCTGTATGACTTTTGAAAACAGTTTCGTTTATCAAAAGGTTCCCAGAAGGACCAGAAGTCATAAGGTCAAATGGCAGGAATGACCCTCGTGATGTGTGGTTGGGCATTTTTTAGATGGCAATGTTAATTCTGTGAGGAAAATGAGTGTTAACTTACAGCGAGACTGTTCTGTTGGGAAATGATTCAGTAGAAGGCACCTGATGGAGCTCCATGTTACTGCAGACCACTTTTCTGTCCAGTGTGGCCCCAGACGAAGAGCTTTTCCCTACTGCACTTTTGAAGCGTTCATCATATGATTTACATTCAGTCGATCCTGCAGAGCTCGAGCTTCTGAGAAGCACAAAAGCCAGGAAAAAGACACAAGTAGCGGCCACCGACATCACTCCTGCCTTCGTTGATATTCACACGGCAAGAAGAGGGGTCAGATTAGCATATAAATAGCCCCGGAAAGCCTTTCGTTGCTGTTGTTTATATCTAAACACGATCTCTGCGTTGAATATTCGTCAAAAGCCATCAAGCAGAGACGCTGGCCAGCACTCTCTTTAAGTCATGGTCGAAATACTGACTCGACACAACATTAGATGGGACGATTTATCATGGTTTTTGCTTTCCACATTAAGCAGTCCGAAAGGCAGCGGTCGAATATCCTTCTTTGTTTTCCATAAGCATCATTGTACAACTCAACAAACCTTCTCCAGCCGGTTGCACGCAAGTTTCCACTGTTTTACACGAAGCATTTTCTTTGTTTCCAGTCAAAGTGGAGATCTCGCTCCTGCGCTAAAAGAGAGACAGCTGCAACCATCCCGAGATAACAGTCTCACTCACAAACTCAAGGAAATCTGTTCACATAAACTTTTTCTCTGTGCTCATCTCACTGCACATTTGAACTCCAAAAGAAAAGAAAGAGTTTCTAGACGGTAGTTATTTGAAGATTATCTAAAACAGGTCATTAAACGCGACATGTCCGCGTGCCGAACAATAAAACCATTCTTGAGAAACTGAATGCGTAAAGTTGGTTTCCACTTTGCTACTGTTCCCCGAATACTGCTACCGACCACGACGGTAAAAACGCTTTGTGAGAGATACAAGCGGAATGTTTAACCCAGGGTCCCAGAGTGTGCTTCTTGCGGTCGGTGAGACGGTAAAAGCGTGAATGTGACCAGCGCTGTTCAGTTCATAGCCGAGTGTGTTGCTGTTCTCTGAGCCTCGGGCTCCATGTTCCATTTCCTCCCCTGACGTCATCATAGGTTTGGTCTGAACTCCAGTCAACACCGATCCTTTTAATTAAACCCACTGTTATTGCCCACATTTTATACAATATTGCCTTTAATTTAGAAGATATTATTTTCTTTTATACTGAATCTTCAGTCAGTAGGCATATACGTTTATAGAATATATCCTCAATTTCTCTTTTGTTTTTATCCATGAAGTTTTGGAGTTTTTCATCAAGTTAGACATGTTCCTGGATCGACATATTTTGTTGATCCCCTGGTTGATCCTGGAACAACATTCCGAAAAAATAGGCCTAGGCCTAACGCTAAACCTAACCCTACTTATATCCCTAAAATTAGAGGTAAATGGTGTGTGAATAATAACTGATGTTGTTGTTTTTTTATTGCAGAAAAGGTAACACAAATAATAACTAAATATAAACAATCAATAATAATAAAAAAAAAAGCATAGCTCACATTCAATTTTAACAAATAAGGATATTACAAAACACCAATGGTATCGTAGCATTTTAAATATTTCACAGATTTTTTGTTTTTTAACAGTCTTATTGAAGAAATGTAAAAATCAAAGTCAGAACAAAACAAATTTAACACAGGAGATGAATTAAGAAATGTTTGTTTGTGTATGTAAAATTTAGCTGATAAAATAAAAAGGTTAACAATAAATTCCAGATCTTTATTGCTTTTATTTTCATAATACAAGGTAACATCCTTTAAAGTAAAGCAATAATAAATATTTATCAGATTAATATAAAATCTGCCAAATCAGTCCAAAACTGGTTCACGACTTTACAGTCAAAAAATAAGTGAGTCAGTATCTCTTTTTCATTATTACAAAAACAGCACATCATCAATATCAGAAAATCTTGAGATTTAGAAGGATAAATAATAACTGATGTAGAGGCACCTAACCCGGCCTATAAACCAACATAAAATTTAAAACGGGCACAGATCTGATGAGTTGATTGGAACTTTGTTCTAGGATCAACAAAAAGTTGAAAGAGGAACATGTTGTAGGCTACTTGGTGAAATAACATTCACGCCAAAGGTCTTTGTTTAAATATTAATAAAAATGTGACAGATTAATGAAGCAGTAGGCGATGCGATATTTTTTTTTTGGTAATGCTATATATGAGGTTTAGTTTGCTGTCCTGCTGTCAATGTTGTTAATTTATTTATTTAACTTGGCTAAAACTCTCTCATGGGTAAAACAGCTCTGTCCTCGACAATTTTTTAGGAGGTTATTGAAGACTTATGAAAAGACCCTGTAAATAGTCATCTGATGGTATGCACTTTGTTAAATTATATCATTCTGAAAATTAAAAAAACAAATCTTGAGAATTCTTGCCCTCTTTGGTTTTATCAGTGTTAACCCCTCTCGTTGTTTTTATTTAGATTTCTATTACTATAAATGTTAGTCATTAATATTCCAGGCCTGCAAATTGCACTTAAATTGTTACTTTTTCACTGATCTGTATACTGTAGAACATTATGCAGATCAGTGTACTTTTTACTAAATATATACCTTTAATAATAAGAGTCATTTAAATATTGTTAGTATATAAAACTGGTCTAAATGTTTTTATGTCATTAAAAGGTTGCTGATCTGTGTGAAATGCAGTACTCTATTCAAAACTTTTTAAATTTTAAACAGCATGCAGTTTATGACCTCACCTCACATTAATTGAGAGACTATATATTTCTATTTGTAAAAAATAATTTGTAACACCAGGATTATTTAAGACTATTTAAGGCGCTAAAGTAGCTGGCAGGATTAACCTGTAACCTGCCAGGTTACATAACAAAAAATATGCTTTTCCATAAACATTATTATAAATCTTAACCTAAAATGTATGTCTGAATATTAAATTATGTATATATATGTGTGTGAGTGTGTGTGTATTCAGACATACATTTTTATATAGGTATATATATATATATTTTGTTATCTAAACATGTAAGAGACAACTGAGTGACCCCCTTCTGCAGTTAATAAAAAAGCACATCCATTTCCTTTACAGTTATGGCTTTCCATTACAAAACCACAAAACAAAATGCAACACAATACTAAAGGATCCTTGATCCATTGTGCTCATTTGTTTTTGTGTGGCCCTCACAAAAGGTTCTCTTTGCATTGCTGCACTACAAACAAGTTTAGACAGGTTGGCAGTAGTGGAAAAAAAGAAAAAAAAAAAGAAAAGGAAAAAAGTTAGCCTAGATGGGTCTTCGTCGTAGCACAACCTGAAGAGAACAATGCCTTGTGCAGCGTTTGTGACTCTGAATCGCATGGAGATGTTTCGGCTTCCTATCATTGGGATATCTTTCTCATACATTGTCATTGTGACCAGGCAGGGACAATTTAGAAGCCGTGTGTAAAGAGGACTGCGCCTCATGCAGGTCAAAGGTCCTTGGGGCTATTCAGTTTACATTTACATTTGTATCATATGCTTTTCAATCTCTTACGAAACATGCGATACGATAAACCATTTGCATTACAATTCGTTGAGCTTAAAAACAAATTATTAACGTTTCTATTCTACCCAACAGCAAAAACGTCACTAATTTAAATGAAGCAAAAAACGTCAAAAATGTAAATAATATAAAAAACGTCACTAATGTAAATATATATATTTGAAAAAAAAAAGTACCTTGTACGGTCTCGTGACGGTGCGCGATGACGTAACGTGCAGGGCGTGCTGACGTTCACCGCTTACTTTAAGCTGCGAACGTGCAGACAGACTTGATTGCATGTATTTTTTTTATTCCGTTTAATAGCGCGATAACTTTGTCTAGTTTCCTCTTCATCATTGTCTTAAAATATGTCTGCATTAGATGTCACCGTATTTCCAAAAGACTTTGCGTGGGGAGCTGCGACTGCTGCTTATCAAATAGAAGGTAGCCTACATGTTACACTAGTGTTTATTTACTGTAGTAAACGTCGCGGTGGTTGTCGACTTATCTGATTTAACTCACTTGCAGATTCAGCATTTCAGGATGCATGTAATACCAACAATTTGCAATTATTTAGAATATAGAGTTATTCAGTTACTCTAACAAAAATACTACAAAGGTTTTTAACGTGGCATCATTATTGTCATGTTTTATAACAAATACCATGGTAATTATATGGTCGTCTTCATTATAGTTAGTACCATGCAATTACAATGGTAAACTGATATTGCTAGATTATAACACTCCAGTACTTTTTGTTAAAGGCAGATGTGGATTGTTTATTTTGTTATTTTGTAGCAGTCAAACTTTGTTATTTGGCAGATGTGGATTGTTATTTTGTAGCAGTCAAACTTTGTTATTTGACAGTTGTACATGTCAAAGGAAAATTAAATGAGATTATATATATATAATGGGTCTAAACTTTCCTTTCGATTCCTTAAATTATCTTGCAGGAGGCTGGAATATGGATGGTAGAGGCCCCAGCGTATGGGACACATTCTGTCACGTCAAAGGACGGGTGTTTGAAGACCATAATGGAGATGTAGCCTGTAACAGCTATCAGCTCTGGAAAGAGGACCTGAAATGTATCCAACAGCTTGGTCTCACCCATTACCGTCTGTCCATATCCTGGTCACGGCTCCTTCCCGATGGAACCACAAATCATGTCAATCCAAAAGGTGCTTATGGCAACCTTTGTGAGGTTCATAAGAGTCAAATAAAAAAAAAGTCAATCCCGTGTTCTTTCTCGGTGCTAAACAGATTTACAAACACTGTAAATAATACTTTTAATTAACTTATCACTAAAAAACACAAAAAGTAAAAAAGTAAAATTTATATAAATAGCATAAAATTCACCCGTAGGAACAGGAAAATATGAAAACCGAGTCAAAATAATTCTATTGAAGCTCTAGCATTCTTAATCCATGAACAAGTTTGAGTAAACAAAACATCAACTTTTGTGTTTTCTTGGATTTTATTTCAGCTTCAAATGATTGTTTACACATTTGTTTAAAGTTATTTTTTATGGAATATTGCAGTGTTAATTATAAATGATTATAAATGCACTTTTGTAAAATTCAAGTGCCATCGTAATGTTTAATCAAAACCATTATGTTTAAACAAAAGCCTCTCAATGACATCTCATTTCTGATGATGTGTCACTCACATGAGATCATAGCAATCAACAACAACTGTCCAATCAATTTCTAATGGACAAAATCAAGTCCTGCCCTAATTTTGTCACATTAGTGAGGAAAACATCTGTTTCATGCCGACTCTAAATGATTTAAACGATTGACACGGATGATGTAAAAAAGTGTGCAAGTTTAATTTTGGCCTACTTGTTACCTAAATCATTATACTTCCTGAAGTTGCTAACTTGCGTTTTTGACCTTTTTTTCCGCAACCCTCAGGTGTGGCGTATTATAACGAAGTGATCGACGACTTGATTGCTTGTGATGTGACGCCCATGATCACATTGTACCACATGGACTTACCTCAGGCCTTACAGGATCTTGGCGGATGGAACTCGGCAGATATTGCAGACATCTTTGAAAGTTATGCCAGGTTTTGCTTTAAGACCTTTGGAGACAGAGTGAAGCTCTGGATCACACTGAACGAGCCCTATATTTGTGCCAAGCTGGGTCATGAGGATGGCACCTTTGCCCCTGGGATCAAAGATCCAGGAATATCAGTCTACTTGGCGGGACATAACATGCTGCGTGCCCACACCAAAGCCTGGCATACTTATAATACTCATTTCAGGCCTTTACAAGGAGGGCAAGTGTCTCTTGCCCTGAACAGTGACTGGGCAGAGCCGTTGAACCCGGACTGTCCTAAAGATGCTGCAGCCACTGAGCGCTACAAGGACTTCACTCTGGGCTGGTTTGCCTGCCCTGTGTTTTGCACAGGAGATTACCCAGAGTCCATGAGATTCAGGATTGAGAATAGGAGCTTGGATCTGGGATACAAGCAGGGCTCTCGGCTGCCACACTTCTCAAAGGAAGAGCCCACTCCTTTGGGCACAGCGGATTTCTTTGCACTAAACTATTACACCTCTCGGAAAGTCAAAGATCTAAGTAGTGCTGGTAAGAACAACAAGCTCAGTTTTGTGGGGGATCAGGGGGCAGAGGGGGTTGTTGACCCGTCATGGCCCATATGTGGGGTTCACTGGTTGGCTGTTGTTCCTGATGGATTGCGGAAATTGCTGAAATATATAAAGGTACCTTCATTTATTTGTGCACAATTCTCTCTAACTTTCCTTTATTTTGAATTGAATTAGGTGTGTATTTATCATACAGTGATTCATATATTGTCTTATTAACAAAATCATTTACATTTGCTTGTTTTTTTAGGACACATATTCCAGTCTGCCCATCTATATCACTGAAAATGGCTTTTCGCAGATGGGGCCGGTTCAGATAGAAGATGCCGACCGCTCTCAGTTCTATCAGGACACTCTGCAGGAAGTTGGCAAAGGTACTGTCATATTAACACTGCGCAATGTACAATAAAATAGCTCAAGAGTACAAAGTTCATTTTATACAGTTAATTTTATACAGACTAGTAATGCCCTTGTGAAAAAGTGTGCTTCAATGCGCAGTTGTATTGGTCTTAAACAAAAATAAATAGTTTTTCCTTTAAAAAACATACTTGGAGATAATTTAATTTGAATGAAATAAAAGGTTATTTAAGTGTACTTAAAAGAGACTACACTTTCATGACTTTAACACACTTAAGTTCACTTTTTAAAAGTGCACTTTGTAATGATGTCAAATGAAAAGTTTGACTTTAAATAATTCTTAAATAATTACTTTAATCTTTTGTTGTCCTAAACTAAAAAAATGTGCAATGTACTTGATTATTATTTGAAGTGTAGTGTGTTATTCAATATTACATTAATTACATTTATATTTACATTATATTTATATTACATTTATATTTTAAACGTACTAAATTGCAACTATGTTTGTATTTAAATACAAGATGTGAATTTCAACAGAAATTACATTAAAGTAAATTTTAGTTTGCCATAAATGCTTGTCAGTACATGCAGCAATACCATATTTTAAATACAATAGAAGTAATTATGAGATTACATACAAAGATGAACTTAAGTTGAACTAATTGTATACATTTATACAATAATACATTTTAATTTAATTGCAATTAAGTGTCAAAACATTTCATTCAGGTTGCACTTAAGTATATACTTTTAAGTAAGTATATTGTTGCCATAATAAGTACTCTTTTTGTAAGTATGCTTAAAGGGATAGTTCACCCCAAAATTTAAATTATTCCACGATTTACTGGCCCTCAAGCCATCCAAGGTGTATATGAGTTTCTTCTTTCAGACTAACATAATCGGAGTTATATTAGAATAATATCCTGGCTCTTCCAAGCTTTCTAATGGCAGTGAATGGGGGGTGAGATTTTGAAGCCCCAAAAATGCATCCATCCATCATACATTTTTTTTAAAAGAGAAATCTCAGAGGATTTTGATATATAATAGAAGAGGAGCTTGAGTTTGTTGCACAGCCCTATTTGTTTAAACCGCGAGAGGCGTCAAAGCTTACGCTACTCCTACATCCAACGTCATACATGCGTCAGGGGTTACTCTTGTGGTGCAAATCGACTTGCGCACTATGTGTACGGTCATCTAGCTATTTATTATAGCTAATAACGTTTTAAATATGGATTTTTTTTCTTAAACTCGTCGTTTCGCTTCAGAAGGCCTTTATTAACCCCCCAGGAGCCGTGTGGATTACTTTTATAATGGATGGATGCACTTTTTTTGGGCTTCAAATTTTGGGCTGCCATTATAAAACTTGGTAGAGCCAGGGCATTTTTTTTTATATATCTCGGATTGTATTCATCTTAACGAAGAATGTCATATACACCTAGGATGGCTTGAGGGTGAGTAAAAGGGTGAGGTAAGTTTCATTTTTGGGTGAAGTATCCCTTTAAGTGTATTTCTTTTTCACAAGGGTGGATGTAGTCCTGAAATTGTAAAATCCAGTTAAACAGTTAAACACCAAGTTGACAGTTAAAGTCCTTGTATTGTAGCTTTGAGACCCAGACTACTGGAAGTTTTTCAAATATGATATACTATATTATTATAATATGGATGATGTGTTTGTTTTCCAGCTATCAGTCAAGATGGAGTGAATGTAAAGGCATATTTTGCCTGGTCACTGCTGGATAACTTTGAGTGGAATGATGGCTTCAATGTGCGCTTCGGCTTGTTTCATGTGGATTTCTCTACGCCTGAACTAAAACGCACCATATACCGCTCAGGTAGAGAGTATGCTGCTGTCATATCCAAACATCGCTCTCAGACCAAACCCAAGAGAATTGAACATTACTAAGAAACGAAATCAACATTAAATTACACATGAAGAAACGGCATCAGGAAATGTCTAATGAAAATGCAGTAATTCTATTTTTTGCTGCCTAAATAATGATGAGCCTAACTGGTTACACTACAGTGTTGCTTGCTGTAAAATCGAGTGAGTCATTATCATTAAATCGAAGTTGGACTTAAGTCCTTTAGCTGAGGGTTCTTGAACATTTAGTATGAAGCATGAGCAAGAAAATCAAGGTTTCAGATCTAGTGTTTTGTTGATAAATGCTGCCTCTGTGTGGCCAAAAATGGTATTAAATTTGGAACAGCATTTTGTGCTGGTATATTGGCTGGGATTGCTTTATGCGAGTTCTACAGTCATTTCATTACACTCTCCTAATGGTGTAAAATGAGAATGTTCATGAGATATTAACATAACAGGTTGTAGTAATTTTACATGCAAACTGAAGTGTCATTAACTGGATTGCACATGTAATTACCATTGGAAATGAGGGAATGCTGAATCTAACCGCAGCCCTAAACTCCCAAGGGAGTAAATGGCTGAAAAAATTAGCGTTCTGTTCTAATTATTCACCCAGGAACAGCCATTATTGCATCCTATAAACGAATAATATGAGATCACAAATCGTATTTGATTGTATTGTTTGAATTCTTATAATCAGAGCTCAAGTGAATTAAGCAACAATAGAAGCTATTTTTAATCCTCATGTTCCAGTCAGGCTGGCAAATACATTTTTATACAGGTTTCTTGACTGTAAATTAGTGTATTTAATTGTAACATTCAATCACCTCCACTGATGGTCAATTATACAGATGTCAAATTAATGGAGGCACATTTTTATTGGAACATACTTATATTTTGACACACTTATGAAAAATTCAGCAACAAGGGAACTCATTAGATTAATATAAATTAACTGAATAATTTAGCTGCTAATTAACTATTTCCAGTATGAAGTAGATTACATTCAAAACCTAGAACTTGTGTCCTAGAACAGGGTTCCCACGATTAAAACCTGGAAATATCATTAAATATTTGTGAATTCCAGCCTGGAAAAAGTCACGGCAATTAGCAAAACGATTTTTGGTTACGCTCACATATTTCATTGGGTATAAAAATAGCTTTTTGTGAGTGCATTCTCTATAGTTACTTTTAAAAATCCTTATTTATTAAATATGAACAACTAAATAATTAATGGAAATGCACTGGTCAAGAAGTGTGGGAACCCTGCTAGACAAGCGTCCTATAGATTTCAGCGTCAGTGACAGTATGTGTTAAATGATATGGCTCCGGTGTTGGCGGCAGAAGCCAGCAGGGAGTGAAAGACGGGCGAAACAGAAAGATGTAGAAACGGAGATACCCTGTGAGATAAAGGCAGTCTCAATGAATAAACCACAGAAGAAGAAAAACAAAGCGTGTATGCGAGATAATCCATTTCAAAGTGCCTTACCTAATAAAGTCAGATGTTGAATTCAGCACTCCTGATGATGCAAGTGTTACATTTGGTCATTTTGATATCATAATGCATCTATAGGCCAGTAATCACATTATAATACCACAATGAATAGATGCAGCACCAAATGTAACAATACACCAATAATTGATGTTTTATGTAATTACAATACTTGAATGAAGAACCTCATGAGTGACTGAATGCTTCCAATCAAATAAATATTTGTCAAATAAACATGACTTGAGGCCTTCCTCGAATTGACCAATTTCTACAATATAGGATTATTAATTTACATTTATATTTCTGAATCAACATGCACCAATGCCAATTTTTCTATATATTGAAATCATTATGTTCAGAATCAATGAGCTCATTGTTTAAACGAATACATGATGTTAGCTAACTGCGTGATTTGTATATGCACATTTCTGAAATGCATAACTTGGACACAGTCACCTCTGATAACAGATCGCTTTAAATTGTAATTCAGACGCATGCATTTTCTGTAAAGCTGCTCTGAAACAATATGTATTGTGAAAAGCGCTAATAAATGTGAATTTAATTGAATATATAATTCTAATAAATAATAGAGCCTTTGCTGGTTTAGTGATCTTTCATGATTAATCTGAAATAATAACAGTCAATATAAAAACATTTACATTTATGTAAATGTTTTTATATGAAATATTCTAAAGCCCACTTTTTTATTTCTGCCTATGTTTTGTGCTTTCATTTTCAAACTCCTGATTTTAAATCAAAATTAGATTAGATACTATGGAATTGATATTTAACATCTACGGGTCAGTAGACATTCACAAAGATACAAATATGTTTTCAATGTAAAAGATAGAGTTGTATAGGAGACGGCAATAAAAGTAAACTTTCCCATACCATCGTGACATTCAATTGACTGACTACAGCCTATTTGGACTGAAGTGAATGGGAACACTAATGGCACAATTACAAGGGATTCGCCATTTCTGCTGGCATGAAGACTGTACTTTCAGCAGCCAGTTCAGTGTGGCAATGTACATTTTCAGTTCCATTTAGTCCTGAATAATAGGCACTCACTGTGAACTGTCATCATCTGAGTGGCTGAAAAAGGCCTCCCTTGGGCCCCAATAATGACAGGATTATATTCTCAATTGATACTGCAAAGTCTTTGTTTGTATAAGATCTCAAAAAAAAAAAAAAACCTATAAGCTTTAAACCAAGAAGCTGCAAAGATTATTGCACCAAGTACATTGCTATTTTTTACAGAAATAATGATTGGAAACTAATGTCCTCATTTCTGTTCAGCCATATTCTCTTATTCAACCATTTTTGAAGTGAGAAAAATAATCTTTAACAGTTTTGGGGGGCACTGCATTACAAGTAACGCGAGTTACATAATCAGGTTCTTTTTTTTTTTCAAGTCACTGTAAAAGTATTGCGTTACATTACTATTTACAACAAGATATCCGAGTTTACTCTTTCAAATAAATAACGGAAGTTACTTTGTTTTACACTGAAACCATGTTGAGGGAAATCAGGAGTGTGCAAAGGCTTTGTGTGAACATGATGGTTATTGTAGTTAAATGTGAGCATGCATTTACTCATCTCTCACTTGCAGAAAAACAGATTTAGTATCCCTCAAAATGAACCACACAGTGAAATGCAAACGCAGAATATTACCTGCAATAATTAAGCATGTTAAATAAAACAAAGACTTTATGCATTTAATCTCACTTTATTAGCCAATGTCTTTGCTGCTGACCTTCAACGATCCATTCAGCCATACTAATAAGCAAAAATGACACACATTTGTTAAAATTTTTTGTTTTTCTTTTAAGTAGTAAGAAGAAGTAACTTTGCTTTCCAAAAAACGTAATCAAGTAATGCAATTAGTTACTTTTTTAAGAGTTATGCAATATTGTAATAATTACTTTTAAAAGTAATCAAGCAAACCAAAATCAAAACAAACCTAGAAGCTATAAATAAAATTGGGTAATAATGAATCAGACTTTCCAATGCTCAGAGAGCATGTATATCTATGTCAAAATGAAGCAATTTGCTACAATGAATCAAACTTTCCTATGCTAAGTTTGAGAGAGAACCATTTAGGTTTGCATGTTCAATTCTCTTAGCTAAGACATTAAAACTGTTTGGTCCTGCTACACTGCTACTCATTTGATCAATAGTTACTAGAGAAACACTATTATGTCACGCGATGCTCTCACGCTATTGACAAATATAGCTAAGTTAGCATCGCAGTTGTTCACTTCTCAACCCTGATTATCACTGAACAAAGTACATTTCTTACACAGTATTTTTGTCTTACTTTACTTACTTACTTTATACTTTATTGTCCCATTCCTGGGAAATTTGTCTCGGACAACATGACACGGCCAGTACACACCTTCGATCACACACAACACAGTACATAGCATACAATATGTTGTTTATAATATCTTGTTTTCCGGTACAAATATCTAAACAGAAGTAATTTACTTAAGAAGATATTAAGTCTTGTTTTTGATCAATTTAATCAAATTTGTCAAAAATTTAATCGGGGTGCTTCCAATGAGAAACATTAACGGGGTAAGAAAACTGAACTTGGTTTCTTTTTTGAATTATGTTTATTGCTTGATTTAAGAACTGGAAAACAAGCCAAAAATAAGAAATAGATTTTTGCAGTATACTCACACTTCACAGCCTTAATGAATATAAGATGCTTTTCCATCCCGTCACAGATGATGTGAAATACTTGAACAGACTGACTACTCTGTTCCCCATAACTCTGAGTCTATTGGCATGCAGGACCGTACAGGTAAGCGACAGTCATCCATACGGCTGACACATGGAGCTATCAGCTGAGACAGTGACTGATGGCTGTAAGTGGGGCACTGGGAGTGATGCCATGCCGGAAGAGGTTGTCCTGCAGCCAGGAGATGGATACCACCCTGGTATGGGAGCTGTGGTGGATGGACGAGTGGAGGAGTAAGACTGTGTGGCTAAACCTTGAGAATAGATAGCCTGTGAATTACAGCCTCTCATCTTCAGATGTGATGGAGCGGTGACGGGGAAAGTGGAAAATGCCCAGTGGAGTGTGTACCAGCTGCTGCTGTTTGGTAGTTTGGCAAGGACGGAGCGTGGCGTCTGACATGTGATGGACTATCTGATCAGTGAGTTTTTGTAAAATACCTTCATATACCTTCCAAATGAATCACAGTGTCTCTTCTCTTTATTCCTTAAAGTCACCATGAAATCAAAATGGACGTTTCTTATTTTTTATTGCAGTATTTATTATAAATGATTTATCTGTGCACATCATTATTTTTTAACCCATAATCTTTTCTCTGATGACATGTTTACTGCATGAGGGCGGGACAACCTGTCACTCACATGAGATCGACCAATAGCAAACCACAACCATCCATTAAAAATGTATTAAAGATTTTGTAAGCATATTGGCTTGGAGTCAACTTGGAGTAATTTGGTTTATTTGTGATAACGCAATGAAACATACCAAATCTTGCAGACATCATTTTTTTGCCAGGCTGTCAAACGCAATGAAACATACCAAATCTTGCAGACATCATTTTTTTGCCAGGCTGTCAAACAAAGAAATAATGAAAACATGCTAAAACAAGGGAGAAATATTTTTGCATTAAAATAAAACCTGTTGCTGTAGTTTGCCATTTATTCCAAATAAAAAAAAAATAATACCTTAAAGCTACACTGTGTAGTATTTACTCTCATCTAGCGGTGAAATTGTATATGACTACCAACTGAATATTACTTTCTAGCCCCTCCCATTCCGAGGGCGTTTTAACTCGGTGACCGTGTTATTTCAATCTGCCGGCAGTCGCGAGTAATCTCCCTCTCGCATTCGTCACGGTGCCACTGAGAGTAAAAACGCGAAAGGCGAAGCTAGAATTTCCAGGTATGTCCCTCTTTGTCTAATGTATTTTCTAGATGGATGCGCAACATGGCTTCCGCCATTTGAGTGACTCGCTCGTGTGTATTCTAAATGGCAGATTATACACGTACGAGAATACTTAATTAGTTGGTTGAACTGATTGATTACACATTAATGAGAACATATAATTTTGAAAGAACAAAGTGTTTTTTGCTAGCCTGGATGCCAGCCCGAACCCCGCCCACAACATTTTTTGGTCGGGAAGTTCGGTCTGGACTCGATCCATTGAGGAGTAATTATGATCGGTTCAGAATTAGTCGGGCCAATCAAATTGCCAGGGCGGGCTTTATACGATGATGGACAGATGATCTGCAGTTACGTAGTCATCGCGTTATCAGAGCGCTTGGATTGAACTGGTTTCCCTCAGAGATGACTGCAGCTGGAGAATTGAGATGTATAGATTCCGCTATCACGTCTGTTGTCAAATAAATCGACAGCGCATTCATTTTAAAAGACGAACAGAGAACTGCAATCAAGGCATTTGTCGATCGGAAAGATGTGTTTGCCGTCCTTCCTACGGGATTCGGCAAAAGTTTATTTTATCAGTTGGCTCCGATGGTCGCTATGAAGATTGGACGCAATGAAAACCCTGTGGTCGTTGTGGTTTCTCCTTTGGTCGCACACTCGCACTCATGGAGGACCAAGTAAAAGAAGCAACGCTCATTATTTTACTACTTCTTCCAGCGTGCGTGCAGTTGAGTTCTGTTGAAACTATACTATGCAACTATGTAGCTGACTTACTGCGTTGCTCTGATTGGTTGTAGGTCTATCCAATTGAGTGCAGAGGTTTTTTTTTCCTGGTTCGGTTAAGACACGCCTCATAATCAAAGCCCTATGGAGCAGTATCAGACTCACATTCTGACTAGAATATGAGTATGACGAAGTCAGGCTAGTTTTTTTGCTAAAAATCAACTTAAAATATTACACAGTGTAGCTTTAAAGGGGTCATATAATGCCATTTTCATACAAGTTAATTTGATTCTTTAGGGTCTAAATGAAAAGTTTGTAATATACTTTAATTAAAAATTCTCGTTAGCATTGTAAGAAAACACTCATTTTACCTGGTCAAAAACAGCTCTGTTTTCAGCACGCCGTTTCAGTGCATATGCCTTTAAATGATAATGAGCTTCGCTCACTCCGCCCCTCTGTTCTTCGACACAACGCACGTGGAGTGTTGCCTTGACAACAGTTGAGGGTATATTTTGGAGAATGGCAGCGGGAGTCTCTGAGGACACATCTGTGCAACAGTATCAATTTGAACCGGAGTCGGACCTGGAACAAGATGACGGCCCCGAAGAAGTTCGACAATTAAGGCTCGAACAGGACGTTTCTGAATGGTTGGTTAACATATTGGGCCCTATTTTAACGATCTGAAACGCAAGTATCAAGCGCGAAGCGCAAGTAACTTTGTGGGCGGGTCTTGGGCGCTGTTGCTATTTTACCGGCGGGATAAATGACTCTTGCGCCCGACTCAAGTTTAAAAGGGGTTGGTCTGGAATAGCTTCGATCATTATTCATAGGCGTGGTTTGGGCGTAACGTGAAATAAACCAATCAGAGCGTCATCCAACATACCCTTTAAGAGTAGGTGCGCATGTTGCATGGCGGATTGTTGTTATTATTATGGCGGATTTAACAGGCG